TGTACAGTGCCATCAAATTAAGCATATGGTGGTGAGTTCATGAACCTAATGTTACACTTTGTATGTAAAATTAGGGTCCATTTTACCTTCAAATATTTGTTCTGTTTCCCAGTATTTTGTCTCTCCTTCTATGAGTACTGTTTCAAACATGTTAGTATGGTTGATATTGTCCTAAATGGCCCTGAAGCTCTGTTCATTTTTCTTCAATACTTTTTCTCCTTGTTCTTTAGATTAGATGCCTTATATTGAACAATATTCACATACATTGATTCTTTCTTCTTGCCCCTTAAATTTGCTGTAGAGCATCTCTAGTGATTGTATTTTTGTTATTAAGTTTTCAACTTTAGAATACACATTTGGCTCATTTTATACACTCCTGCTTCTCCACTAAGATTCTCTATTTATTAAGCAATTGTCATCATATCTTGTTTTAATCCTTTGAACATACTTATAGTACCTGCTTTGAAGTCTGTTAAAACTGACTCAAAGTCAGTTATAATTAATTGCCTTTTACCTAAGTATGGGTCACACTTTCATGTTTCCTTGATGTCTCATAATTTTGTTAAAAACTGGATATTATATACTGGGGGTACCAAAAATGTGTATACATTTTAAGAGAGGTCATCTGTGTGTTACTTTTCAAAGTTGAATTGAATTATGGTAGCATTTGGTATTAATTAAATGAATGCTAGCATCACCATGCAACAGTCATGAATAGGATAGCTTTCTCTCTTAAAATGTGTATACAATTTTGGCACCCCCTTGTAGATGTGTATGTGTGTATACATATATATGCATAAATGTAAATATAAAAATATACTGTGTGTACTGCATATATATGGTGCACATATATAGTGCACACCTCAGCCTCCCAGAGTGCTAGGATTACAGGCATGAGCCACCATGCCCAGTGACTCCATTATTTTCTGACATAGAATTGCATTTAGAAAGCTAATAACAATCCAATTTTCTTTCCACATAGTTAACTTTGTTCAATACTTTCATAAGAATATGCTTAATGTTGTCCATTCTAGGTCTATGTTCCTATTTTTGCAGGATAATGTTTTAGTATGTATTTTCTAGTCATTTTTTAATTTTAAAAAATTTTTCTTGAATTATAAGTTCATATATCTGTTCAATTTTATTGCTTTGACTTTTTCCTTTCATGACTTTCATGCTTTGTGCATATACTTTTTTTTTTTTTTTTGACACAGAATCTCACTATGCCCTTGGTAGAGTGTCATGGTGTCATATCTCACAGCAACCTCAAACTCTTGGGTTCAAGCAATTCTCTTGCCTCAGCCTCCTGAGTAGCTGGGACTGCCAGCACCCACCAAAATGCCAGGCTATTTTGTTTGTTTGTTTGTTTTTAGAGATGAGGTCTCACTCTGGCTCAGGCTGGTCTCGAGCCTGTGAGTTCAGGCAATACACCCGCCTTGTCCTCCAGAGTTGTGCATATACTTTTATTTTGTATATCATTTTCTTTGAATAGCTTTTCTCATTTTACTTTATTTTAAAATTGATCATTTATTAATTAATGTATTTTAAAATTTTCCTCATTCTATTTCTTTTTATTTTAATGGATTAGCTTTTGTGTGTCTGTTTTTGGTTTTGTTCTAGTTTTGTCTTAATTTCTGGAATGATTTATAAACATTATTATTTCTACCCTTTCCACCTATCTTTTTTCTTAGCTTTCTTTTTTCCAACAGACTGATGTACTAATCTTTCCAAAATGTTGCACAGTTTGTTTGTTTTTTTATTTCTTTTGGCTCATTTTGAGTAATCAACCTATAGTTTTATTAATTTTGTGTTCCTATCTTGCTAATAGGCTGTCATTGGTGTAGGAATGTTCTTTTGTTTTCCATTTTGGTTGGGGGGGTGGTTGCTTATAGTATCTTTCTTTACAGGTTGTTCTACCTCATTCTTTTTCTATTGCTTATGTTTAAGTTAAAGACATTTTTATTCATGTTATAGAATGGTGAGCCAGACTAGCTTTTCTAGAGTGTTCATTGTCTCTCCAACCCACCCTTTTGTTATTTTCAAGGTAAGTAATTTGCCATTGTACTTTTGGAGTATGTTTCCTTTGCTTCCTAATTTTTACCTAAATTGCCTTTTTGATTTCTTCTTTTGAGCCTGTCTTATTTGAGTTCTTTTTCCAGGTGTTTCTTCTCTGTTCAGCATGTATTTTGAAAAGCCCTGTCTACTCCAGTACTGATAAATTTTTTCTTCTTTCCTTTGAAGACACTGGTGGTTTGGTGCCTGCAAACTCTCTTCTCTCTTTCAGAGATTAGACTATGCTCAGATTAGTCTGCTATCTTTCCAGTGATTACTGTTGTTGGGGGAAGGGTTCTCTAGTACTAATGCCAGTCCATCTTCCCGTTTCTTTCTGCACAGTTGCTGATAACACAGTGGTCTAGTAGTTTGTCCCCAGATATTAATAGAGATGTGCTGCTATTTAGTACTCTTACAGATACTATATCTGTATTTTTAGTTCTGCTGCCCTAATTACTCTGTATGTTTTTCTAGAAAGTTTCAGGAATATTCAAAAAGTAATAGCTCTTATACTTCCAACTTCCCAGAGTCTAAATAAAGTTTACAAAAAAATAATACTTATGTATTTGGATAATATACATTTAAATATAATTAAAATATTAAGCAGGTTTTGTAGACATCACAGATATTGTGCCTAGATCATGAGGTTTAAAGTAAATTTATATAAGAAACTATTATAATAATTTCAAGAAAAAAATGTAATAGTTTTGGTGGTAGGCAAATGTTGCAAAATATTTATAATGGTGGTATACAAATAAATCCAGTTGAAAGTACTGTTATACTGGATATCTTTAACAAGGGACAGGGCTCTTTTTCGTAAATTGTGGAGTTACAGCCATATTTGATAGCAGCAATGGAGAGCAAGAAAGGCTCTGATCTCATCTCCTTAGCTAGAAGAATTAAGGGTATGTGAAAACAAGCAATCACTATTTGAGAATGATGCAGGGACATATGCTATAATAGGGCATATCTGGTAGATTTAAATTAGAGAAAAGAGGAAGAAAGAACTATCAATAAAGATAGTTCAGGTTATACTCATGAGAGATTGAAATATAGTAAAGATCTAAAATCTAGATATAAAATTCTTAAAATATGTATATACTCTTGATATCAGTGAGAATGTTCATACTCAATGATCCATTAACTGCACTTCTGTAAATTTATCTTAAGTACCTGAATAGTCAGAAGAAAACTAGTAACATAAGGATGATCCTTGCTGTATGCCATATAATAGTTTAAAATAGATCAAAAACACAGACTGAAAGAGCATGACTTTATAACTGGAAATGACTAAGCAGATGATGATGTATATTTATAGTATAACATCCATAGCTGACCACCTCCATATGTTGACAAGTTTGTTATGGTCTCTTGGGTAGTCAACTTTCAGAGGTTCTGTTGTCTAATGGAATAATATAAAGCCTCCAAACATTTCAACCACACACAGTTCAAGAATCATGAAAACCTTTTAAAGTAATATATGTAGCATTCATTGGTAAATAGGATCACAAAGTATAAGAAAACATGTATGCATACAAACAAGATTTCAATTGACATAGAAGAAAGAATATAAGATTTTTAGGGCATTAGAATCATACAGTTATTTTCATTTATAAACTATCCTTTTATGATAATATAGTTTAATCACAAATGTATGTGTATATGTATATAACTTTCCCAAAAGGAGGGACTATAAAATGGATATTTAACTCATTTTACCTTTACAAAGAAAAAACAAACAATGCTTACTTCAGAGTTTCTTCATATATTTTTTCTGTGTTATTCCTTAGTTGGAGGATTGTTTATAAGCTCTAAAAAGATAATTGGATATGAAGAAATAAACACAGTAAAAAGATCAGTGTTTGCTAGGGGGTAATGGGGAGGAAGGGATGAATGAGCAGAAGACAGAGGATGTTTAGGACAGTGAGGCTATTCTGTGTGACACCGTAATGGTGAGTGAATGTCATTACACATTTGTTCAGACCCACAGAATGTACAACACTAAGAGTCAGCCCTAGCGTAATGTATAGGTTGAAGATGATAATGATGTGTCAAAGAAGGTTCATCAACTGTAACAGATGTTCCACTATAGTGTGGAATGTTGATAGTGGGGAGTCTGTGGGTGGGTGAGGGTAGCAGATACACTGGGAATTCTCTGTGTTTTCTGCTCAAGTTTGCTGTGAACCTAAAACTGCTCTAAAAATAAAGTCTATTAAAGTAGTATTTTCTTTTTTTTTGCAATTTTTGGCCAGAGCTGGGTTTGAACCCACCACCTCTGGCATGTGGAGCTGGCACCCTACTCCTTTGAGCCACAGATGCCATTCTTCCTTTTTTTTTTGAGACAGAGTCTCATTATGTTGCCCTTGGTAGAGTGCCATGGCATCCCAGCTCACAGCAACCTCTAATTCTTGGGCTTAAGCAATTCTCTTGCCCCAGCCTCTTGAGTAGCTAAGACTACAGGCGCCCACCACAACCCCTGGCTATTTTTTTGTTGCAGTTGTCATTGTTATCTAGCAGGCCCAGGCTGGGTTTGAACCCACCTGCCTAGGTGTATGTGGCTGGCACCCTACCCACTAAACTATGGGCACCGCCCTATTAAAGTAATATTTTCAAAAGGACAAAGGCTTGGTTATAAAGTTTTCTATTCTATCTAAGCAAGCAAATGTAATCTAAAGACTAAAGTACCAATATGAGGCTAAATGATGAGTTGGATCCTGTTAGAGTAGGTTCCCTATAATTTTTAGTGGTAAGCAACTGTTTATGCTCCTCCGTAGCTCAGTTTAGCCATTTATACAAAGAACATTATAGTGGGGTTCTGCCTCTTGCTTCATAAGTTCCCATGAGGATAAATGCATCTCTGTACTAAAACTGTTCTTATCTCTCCTAGAAAGAGCACTTTATGAACCAATCCAAAATCCCTGCATTTTCTACCTTATGTTTTGCTGTAGGTATCCAGGAAGAATGGGGAGGCAACCATACAATAGAAATAGAGATAAATCAGACTCTGGAAATGCCATGCTTTCAAAATATCTCCTCAGAAATTTCATCTGAGTTCACCTTTGCCTGGTTGGTGGTAAGTGTTGCCTTTTTCAGTGAATAACTACAGTGATCTTTAAATATTAATGAAGTAAAATGAATAACAAGTAATAATGGGGAAGGATGCATACTTGATGAGAGAGCCAGGCATCATGCCAGGGGTTGGGAGAGGGGTGGGAAAGGAAGGAAAGGATGCTCTCCCGTTCCTGCTAACCAGGCAAGCCTCGGGTCTATGAATGCAGTCAGTTAATTTAAAAATCAGCTTCCCAAGTTTAATTTCTGTTTCTATCCATATACCAAACCGTGACTGCAGAGAGAATAAAGCGTGATGATGCCCTGGGGAGGAGCCATATACAGCAGAAGTCCCTAATCATAAATATTTGTTTTAGTAACACCATATGCAAAGATCAGCTTTTTTTCCCCCAAAACCCTTATTATGTCTTCCTAGGAAATATATGACATTGCTTTAGATCAGGAAACATAAACACTAATGCTTCTAAAATATAAGCAGAAAATGTACAGAAAGTCAGGACTTGTGTAAGAAATAGCCACACTCAGTTCCATTAAAACCACAGGGGGTGCATGGCCATCATCGCCAGGCCTTCAAACTTGGCAGAGGGAGTCGGAAATCTGAATTTTTGAGAAATTTTCCAATTTTAAAAATAATATGTAGGGCAAAAATAAATACTGGTCTAATTATTCTGATTGAATAAATTGCTAGGGCATCCTAAAGTATAACAGGAATATTTTTAAATTATCAATTTTTAAAATTCCACAGATAGTTATGGTTAGTCAACCATTTAACTGTTGTATTTAATTGCTTCCCGTACTCCCTGGGATGACTAAATTCTCCCACTATTTTTCTCTATTTAAAATATTGCTAACTTCATCTATTCAGATCTGTGACTTAATTTTGCCTGTCCCTTAATGTGAATGAATCATTTACCTGCCTTTGTTATTTTTCATTAGTCTGCAACATTATTTGCCCAGACTGTGTCATTTTCTTTCTCTAAAACTAAATTTAATCATAAAAATGAAAAATCTAGTGATTTCACATCATTTTCAAATGGGAATTATCATAGATTTCTCATAATAAGTAAATGAAATCAACATAAGCATAATAAGAAATATGAAAGAATTGTGTGCAGCTGGCTATTAACCAATATGTACAGTAAACTTCTAAATCCATCAAGTTGAATGATAGAAGGAGAATAATGAAATATAAATATAATCATGAACATGATTTCAAGAATCACATAACAGGGAATTGATTTAAGTGATCTAGAATATGATTACTGTATATCAATTTTTTAAGTTGTCATCAAAGTGCAAACACATGATTTTAAAATGTATACAAAACTCATAGATGCCCATGACTGTAACAGTTGACGCAATTTGGAAAATACCATGATTCACATGATTGATAATTCACATTACCAGTTACCTAAGTTTTTCTGGGCTGTCTTAGAAACTAGAGTCTACGCATAAAAATACTTTTCTGGGGGTGTGTCAAATCCAAAATAACTGACTCTAAGACCTTAAAACACAATCTACTGATAATTCTTCACTGCCTAGATATTTTCTGGATAGTCAGTAAAATAAAAAGAAAAATATATTCTAAATATTCTGAAACAAATTTCCCAAACTGTTCTGAAATCTCCAATGACTCTTTGTCATCTGTCACAAATCATATTTTCCCCTTTATATTATAGGATTTGTTTTCCAAAGTGTAAAGCTTCCTGGGAACTATGCCTATCAATAGTAGAAGTCATTGTTCTTAACCAACATGATGCAATATAGTTCTTAGGAAAAGTTTAAAAGTGAAGGTGATCTCAGCAGAGACTGTATTAAATGTAATAGTAATGAAAGTGCATTGTTTATATCTTGCTTGCATAATTAAAATTTTTCACTAATAGAGCAAAATGTCCCTATCCTTATCACAAATTTACTATCAATAGTAATTGGCTTGATAAAGCTTTACTGTAGAGATTTTTGGTGTCTGATAAATTAATCTGTCACATTCTTAACTCATGGGTGTGTCATCTATTTTCCCAAGCAAATGTAAAGCCTTCATTAGTCTCTGTTTTTTATGTGACTTTGAGTTTCTCTAGGGCAAAAACTGCACCATTCACTTCAAAATTCTGTAGCATGTAGTATAGAACCTAGAACATAGGAACCTGTAAATACTTAATAAACAATCTAATGAATTTGTTTCTATCTGTTCCCTTTTCACATTGTCTTATTCGTTGTCTTCATATTAAATTGATGGTCACTAAATTAATGCCCTTTGATTGATGAGTGAGTGTCAGCACATTAAGGATCAAAGACCAGACAACTGGATAAGGCATCCTTATCCTTCAAAGAAGCCAAGAAGGCTCTCTATAGGCATTATCTGTGGATCCTGCTGGGACATTTTGGATAAATGAGACCCCGAGAGATTGCAGTAAGGTCACAGAGTGAGAGGGTGAATCCTAAACATCTGCTAGGACATCAAGCCACTCTCCCGCTTTAAAGAATTCATCACGATATGGACAACCTGAGGAATCCTTTTGAAAGAACACTCTCTTCAAAAGGAACATTGTGTTGGCAAATGCACTGATTAAATTCCTACTGTGCATTCCCTTTTTAAATGTTAAAATCTATTTGCTCCTCTGATTTACATTCCGGCCCCACACTGTTGATGGCAGTGGGATTCAGCAAGTCTGGTAGGAAATCCTTTAATGTCTTTTCTGTAGAGTATATAAATATTCTCTCCAATCCGCATTTTAGGTCTTTAATCCCTTGTTAAATTAACAATAATCATAATTATAAGCCAGGTCTTACAAACATCATATAACATAGCTTTTAGAAAGAGGTTAAAAAATAGAGATGATGACGATGAGCTCAGAAGAGCAGAAATCTGTATACTGGACTTGGTAACTCCAGGAAGCTATAGAAGCTGTCTGCCGCCAGTGCTTCACGAAATCCTGGAAACTATGTTATTAATACCAACTAAAATTATCAAGGTCAGTGGAAAACAAAAGTCATGTCTTCCTGTATGTGAAATTTTATAAAATCTAATTAATTCAGTTAGGACCCTCAGTGGAAAAGTTATTAGTGGGATTCTCAGTCTCGTAAAATAAACCTATTTGCTATAAGTGCCTGATCCCAATCTAAGGCTGTGTTATATGTGTTAGTGGGACAGATCCTTTGCATTTGGGGAGGTTACATTTCAGGATTGTTACTACACAAAGGTAGACAAGCATCTGGTGCAAGTAGACCATGAATCTAACCCTCCTATAGGATGTAGAGTAACTAAGTAAGCAAAAAGGATTTACCCTTTAATAGGAACAAAGATATATCTGAATGGTGAGGTTATTTATAAAAATCACAGAATATGAATGTTTAGATGGAAAGCAGTCGATAGAAAAAGTGATGGTTTTCCTATTTTATGCACCAGGACACAAGTATACAGTCATCAGGGAATTCTGCAGACTTACTCTGGAAGCTTCTCAATACACTCTAATATTCTGTTTTCATCCCCAACTATCATCCTGATTTCCCATAGTATAAATGTCAATTCAATCCAATAAACATATGTGAATCTGCTTTGGGTGCTAAGTCCTGTAGGGATACATATTTCCTACCATGACACATGCCTTTAATGAAAATGTAAAAAATGGCAGCATGGTGGGAAATAGTTTGATTCTGACCAGATGGACCTTTGAAAGGTTATGTTTGACCTGTATAATTAAAGAACAGTTGGTTGGTAAAGGACAGATATATACTACATTAAGACTCTAAATGGAGGTCCAGTTTCAGTCTTCTACAGGTCACCAGCCAGTTCACTCAGCACCATTTGTCAAATAGGGAGTCTTTCCCCCATTGAATATTTTTGATAAGCTTGTCGAAGATTAAATGATAATATGCAGCCAGCTTCATCTCTTGGTTCTCTATTCTGTTCCATAAATTGACCGCTCTGTTTTTGTGCCAGTACCATGATGTTTTGATGGCACTGGCACTATAGATTTATAGTATGCCTGAAATCTGGTAATGTGATACCTCCTGATTTGTTCTTATTTCTGAGCAATGTATTTGCTATTCAAGTTTTTTTCTGATTCCATATAAAACAAAGTACTGTTTTTTCAAGTTCTTTAAAGTATGACAATGGTGCTTTACTAGGGATTGTATTAAATCCATGGATTGTTTTGGGTAGTATGGACATTTTAACAATGTTGATTCTTCCCAGCCATGAGCATGGTATGTTTTTCCATTTGTTAACAACTTCAGCTATTTCTTTTCCCAGGGTTTCATAGTTCTCTTTATAGAGATCTCTCATATCCACTGAAACTAGACCCCCACCTTTCACTATTAACAAAAATTGATTCTCACTGGATAAAAGATTTAAACTTAAGACATGAAACTATAAAAATACTAGAAGAGGCTCGGCACCTGTGGCTTAAGTGACTAAGGTGCCAGCCACATACACCTGAGATGGCAGGTTCGAATCCAGCCCAGGCCCGCCAAACAACGACGGCTGCAACCAAAAAAAAAAAAATAGTGGGCATTGTGGCAGGTGCCTGTAGTCCCAGCTACTTTGGAGGCAAAGGCAGGAAACTCACTTGAGCCTAGGAGTTGGAGGTTCTGTGAGCTATGATGCCACGGCACTCTACCCAGGGCAACAGCTTGAGGCTCTGTCTCAAAAAAAAAAAAAAAAAATACTAGAAGAGAGTGCAAGGAAAACACTTGAAGAAATTGGCCTGGAGAGGAGGACCCCCACAGCAGGCAATTGAAGCAACAACAAAAATACATTACTGGGATCTGATCAAACTAAAACGCTTTTGCACAGCCAAGAGCACAGTAAGTAAAGCGAATGACAACCTTCTGAATGGGAGAAGATTTTTACAGGTTATGCTTCTAACAAAGGTCTGATAACTAAAGTCTTCAGAGAACTCAAATTAATCAATAAGAAAAGAATAAATGCCCCTGTTCAATTCTCTTGCCCCATTTCTATGTGGGCAAGAGACTTGAACAGAAACTTCTCTGATGAAGACAGGT